TTGATTGTATTAAGACCTATGTACCTTATAAAGAGTTAACTGTTGAACCACGAGACAAAATTTGGTTCGATGATAAATTACGTATTTTATATAAGAAGAAATGTAAGCTATACCGTAAAAGTAAGAGGTCGATTTACCACTTGCAGTTGTATAAAGAAGTTGCTAATGAATTTAAAGTAGCTTGTCTTTCTACAAAAGAAAACTACTATAAGAGAATAAATAAGAAAGTTCTTGCTTCTTCTAAAAGTTGGTGGGGTTTAGTGAAACATATGTTAGGTAGAGGTCGAACAACTGCTATTCCAGCCTACACAATAGTCAAAAGCAAGTTATAGTGGATGTACAAGAGAAGACTGAGATTTTGAATAGTTACTTTGCAGAAGTAACTACATGGACTGGACCTAAGATCGACCCAAAGGTTGCTGATGCTTTGCCTGAATCTACGGTTATAGTTGATAAGTTTAAGGTACAGCAACCGGATGTTGAAAAAATTTTACGTAAGCTTGATCCCAGTCACGCATCCTCGCCAGGAATAACCAATCGTATGTTAAAACAAATGGTACCCTCTTTAGTAACACCGCTCACTAAACTAGTCAACGAGTCATTTGAGATTTCTGTTTGTTCAGATCGCTGGAAGAATGGTGTGATAAATCCGTTATATAAGAGTGGTGATTCTTTAGATCCATCAAATTATCGTCCTATCACCTTATTGCCAGCGTTATCGAAAATTCCAGAAAGATTAGTCCACAGGCAGTTATATAATCATCTTGTTAAAAATAAACTTTTATGGCCGTTTCAATCTGGTTTCGTAGCAAAAGATAGCACGACTAATTTATTATTGGATGTTGTAAACAAAATAAAACTTGGTATAACTGCTAATAAGTTTGTTCGCGCTGCATTGTTAGACTTTAAAAAAGCCTTTGATAACGTTAATCATGAATGTTTACTGTTGAAACTTTACAAAAAAGGTGTAAGGGGTAAAGCTTTAAAGTGGATAGAAGATTATCTGAAAGATCGTACTATTCAGACTATGCTTGACGGTAAAATGTCTCAGAAACGGCTGGTCACAAAAGGAGTGCCACAAGGATCAATCCTTGGTCCTTTATTGTTCTTGGTTTATATAGACGATCTACCAAGCAACATAGAAAGTACTGTGAGATTATTTGCAGACGATGTAATTTTAATAAATCATGAGGATGATCCTCTAAATTGTGCGCTAAAGTTAAATAGATATTTAGTTAGAATACAAGAGTGGTCAGAGAAATGGCATATTCCTTTAAATCAGGCTAAGTGTGAAGCAATAACTTTTAGTTCGCGTTATTATAGTAAGAAAGCATCAACCTTACCAAGCACATCAACAGATTTGATGATTAGCTAGTAGAACGTTAAAAAGTTTCAATAAAATTTAAATTAGTCCACGCCACGTCTCTCCGTCTAGTCTATGTTATTTTCGCTTTTCTTGACGTTTTTAACTTTTTTTATATATTATGTCACTGTTCATCCTCCACCTGTTACACTTTATCACTTAATGTAGCCTATATTATGCATGGCCTAAAATGGTTCGCCGCTGGCCTTATTATTTACACAATAAAGATATAGATCAACGACTAACGGAGTGTTGAAAGCACTAAGATAGGTCAAAATCATTATATCGGACAAGTATTTCAACTATTGACCCATGTGGGCATATTTCTAAAAGACTTGTTTATCGCTCATTTTGAAGCTCGTGAAATTCTCCATTGAATGGTATATCTATCGTAATGGCTAGTTGAGAAACGTTGATCAGAGGATCCTCATCGTGGAATAAGCCATCCACTTGTCACGGCTTTCCAGACAGTATTTCTAATATTAAGGGGTACCAGGACACTTTTTTCACTACTTTGTATATATGAAACTGTAGCGCGGGAAATTCTCTATCGAATGGTATATGTATCGTCGTGGTTAGTGGACAACTGTGGAGCACAAGATCGTCACCGTGGAATAAGTCACCCACTTTTCATTGCTTTCCAAACAGTATTTATAATGTCAAGATGCCCTAGGACACTTTTGTCACTATTTTATATATATGAAATTGTAGCGCGGGAAATTCTCTATCGAATGGTATATGTATTGTCGTGGCTAGTGGAGAAGTGTGGAGCACAGGATCGTCATCGTTGAACAAAGAAGAGTAGAACTTTGGTTACAGTAAATCCGACCTAGTTTTTCTGAGAGCAACTCTAAGGCCTGTCAGGTGGCTAGAAATGTTCTCCTGTTCATTCTGCATCTAACCATGTATGTGTCGATGGAATTCAAGCAGTGGCCGATTCCATCAAATAATCGCCCCCGTCCTTTAAATTTTGTTACCATTTACCATATGTTACCAAGAATTAAAATTATCTTTTTACCATTACCATTACCATGGTAATGGTAATGGTAAGGGGAAGGTAATGGACTTTTTTTGTTACCGCAGGACTCTACCCGCAACCCTGTCCAATAAACATTGGTCAAGCACATCTATAGTGCTCTGACGTCCTTTCTCATCAATTAGACATCTGAAGATTTACCGACATCTGTAAAGATCAACGTAAGCCTAACTGTACTTTTTGTCCTTTTCGTCCTTATTGTCCTTCTTGTCCTTTTGGTCCTTCTTGTCCTCTCTATTCGTCTTGTTCTTTGGTCTGCTAAATCCTTATTATCCTCTTGTACTCTTTATTCTTAATGTCCTGCAAGTCTATATTTTCATCCTCAGCTTGCCGCAGATACCTACTTAAAGGAAAAGTCTCGATTTGCCGCAATTGCAACCTTAGCATAGTGTGGCTTCAGTCAAAAAATGGAGCCTAACTTTTTATACCATTCGAAGTGTTCTTTAGCGAGCAACAAAAATATGAATCATCGTTTTTTTATTTTGCTTTGTTACTGACAAAAGTCATTCTTTCTAAAACAAGAGCGTAAAAATCATAATTCTACCTATGATTCTCAGTCTTCTCCGTCAGAACAACTTTTATGCAATAAAAACGTCACACCAAGGATCAGTCGATCAGTAGCCCCAAACGTAAGTCGACTGATGTACATGTCTATCTTACTCGACCACTTTAATTTTTCTTCGAACTGTTTCAACGAGAAATGACTGCGATTTTTTCGAAAAATGAAGATCTTTGACGAAAAACTTTTGCTGACAAAGTCTTCCTTAGGTTCAAAAACATTTTTCAGTCTAAGAAACATTTTGAGAAAAATTGAAGTTTAAGTTTTTTAATAATTTTAAATTCGTAAACGTGATTTTTCTCAAAATCTTTCTATTATACTGAAAAACGTATCACACTCAGTACCCCATTTGGCATCGAAGGAAGATATTTGTTTTTCTCGATTGTGCTTCGCTGAGCCACAACCAGTAGCAAGGCTCTTAAAAAATACTAGTTTTCTGAAAAGTCGACATTTCAAGAAAAAACAAAATTTTTGTTAACCGAACTTCATTCAAAGTTCGCAATAATTTTAGCATATAGGCAGTTCGATCTGGTTGATCGATCGGAGCCAGTCTTATCAGTGGAGCACCCTTCTTTAATGACCAGTGAACTTCTTAAATTTGTCAAAACTTTTAAAAGTTAAAAGAAAATGGAAAGAATTTACCTGGGACGTTCAAACGCCTCTCCATATACGTAGGTCGACATCGGCAACAATGCGATGTAAAAAAACCAGGTGGGGGTCTGCTCCTTCCCTTAAATGTAAACAAAGTCTCCTCTCGCTCTATAACAAACTTACGTGCTTTACACTATTTCTCTTCTTTCGTGTATTTCCAAGAGAAATTGAAAACGAATGCATATAAAGAGAAAATTCAACTATCTCAAGTGCCGAATGCATGTGACTGCAAACTACGTAGTAAAATTATGAAAGAATAAAGAGACGAACAATTGTTATCTGATTCACCACACTGGTACACCATGGTGAAGCTGATTCGGACTCCTGATTTTCTCATAGATATACGTTCCCCAGTGTTTAGTTTGAGAATCTGAAAACCGCAGGTCGCTAGCTATTACGGTTAAAAAGTTATAAGTACCGCGCCGACACACACCGTTTTTAAAAACGCATAATAGTTAGAAATTGCCTTACACTAGATGCATCGTCCGATTTTAACGCTAGGATGGAAATGGAATTGACTTAAAACGATGTTCAAGTAGATGAATTGATCGATATATCTCACGATGCATCGCCCGACACATTGTACGATGTATCGGCCGCTTTATCGGGCATTTTCACGCGTGTTTCATCTGGAGCCGGTACCATCAGCCTTTTGCTTGTCTTTGGTAACTGGCCGGACCAGTGAACGAAATGAAGCTATACTCTTAGAACAAAAACTATTCGAGGGACTGTAGGTTACATTGTGAGAAAAGTTCAGTTCTTAGAAATGTATCCTTAGCAAGAGAAGCCAATTTAGAAAAACTCTCTAATAAAGTCTCAGCGTTTTTTGGAAGAAAGGTGGAAGAAATTTGGTTATGGAAAGCACATTTATTAAATTTCATCATAGTGTGCCAACATATTTGAGAAAAAGAGCTTGTGTCATTGTTACTTATAAAAAAATTACCACAACGATAGGCTTATCTGAAATTTTTTGAGAATCCTTAATTCACAACTTACGACTAACAACTGTCATTTCACTCTTTTGCAGATTTAAAATGAGTCAAAGGAAGAGGACCTCTTATAAAAAACAAGATCTCGAAGAAGCTGTATTAGCATATAAAAATAAAGAAATGACATCAGTTGAAGCTGCAAAAAAATATCGTGTACTGCAATCACCTATTCGAAGACATAAATCGAATCCAGGAGAATAAATAGGTGCTGGGCGTCCTAATCTATTAAATGATAATCAAGAACAATATTTGGTAGCCTTAATCAAAGAACTAGAACAAATTGGTGTAAGAACAACAAAAGCATGTACTTTAAAAGTTGCCGGTGAATATATTAGTTTAGTAAATGGTGGCGGCGCTGTAAATACTTCTGATAAGGTATAATTGACTCTTTCAATTTTTTGCATTATTCGGAACTAATTCTTTTGAAATGTCTTTCTCTTTCTTGAACCCGCTTAGACAACAAACCGGAAAAACATTGGTTAAAAGATTTTATGAATCGCCATAAAGATCAAATAAAGTTTCAAAAAGAACAGAAACTACAAAGATAAAGAAAAGAAGGTTTCACAGAAGAGGTTCGCGTTGGATGGTTCGATAAATTAGAGTCAATATTAACACAAAATAATTTGTTGATGCGTCCAGGTCAAATTTACACTGCTGATGAGTCTGGTTTCGCCGATTCCACGCAATGTAAGTATAGAGCACAAGCAGTATTTTAGAGTTTTCTGTACCCTTCGTCAGAAAGTACTGTTAACGAATTATGGTTTAAGTGGAACTCTTATAGTATCGAAGAAAACTATAACTAGTTTTGAACAGGCTGGCGGTAGTGAAAAGCAATTCACTACAGCTTATATGCTGCAATGCAGCGGGTGAAGTAATGCCACTATTTATAATATATGCCGCAAAATCTTTAAACCAAATGTGGCCAAATGGTGGGCCAACTGGTAATCGCTATGGAGTGTCAGATTCGGGGCGGATCAATGAATATTTATGCACAACATGGTTTGAACATCATTTTTTACCTCAAACGGTTGGTGTTGATAAGCCAATTCTTTTAATAATGGATAACTTACCAGCACATATTAGCGTGCATAGTATGCATGCTAATATGTGCACGATTATACAATTGAACTGGCGAAACAAAATCAGATAATTTTGTTACTACTTCCTCCACACTCCACACATTGTCTTCAACCTTTGGACGTTGTCACTTTCAGGTACATGTTCCAAAAAGATGCTAGTTTTTTCTGGGAAACTTCTCCAGTATAGATCACAAGAAAGCAGCTTTCATCTTTTATTGGTATTTCTACTTCTAAAAAGGTGAATGCTCTAGTCTGGTTGAAAGAAAAGTAAAGCAACTAGCCAAGAATTTGCAATTTGTGTACGTAGAGCAACAGAGTAGTTTGAAGGCGAATGAAAGCAATACTCTTACTGTTTGTACATTGTTTTCCAGTTCAGCAAAACAAGTATGGAAACGAATAGTATCAAAATATTTTTCAAAAACGAATCGAAGTCTATCAGAAAAATGGATTTTCCTGGATTAATGAGTCAATTGTTTCAAGAAACTTTTACTAAAAGCAAATATTAGCTGGATTTACACGTGCTGGCGTTTGGCCGAGATAGATCCACAATCTAAAATTATAACAATTTTTTCAAAATTTGAAAAACAACGTTAACATGATTTTTTTTCATTTTCGCATCGTTATTTCTGCTTGCATTGTTTATGATTTTTTTACTTGTTTCGTCACATATCCGTTTACTGCCTTAGCTTACAAACCGTCTAGATCTTATTCTAAATGTGGGATTATGTCATTATGTTTACATTTTTTCAAAAATTTCATTTGTTCAAATAATTTACTTGGGGCACTATTCTCTCATTGTAAAAATCATGTTAATGTTGTTTTACAAAATTTAGAAAAATTGTTATAATTTTAGATTGTGGATCTATAAAATATTTCGTTTCTAACTACTGAGGATGATATGTTAACATATCGAAACGTTTAGTTAATATTATGAATAAATACGAAGGGAAAAGTTCAAAGACTTTTAACTTAATTATTAACTTCGTGAACAATTATAGCACTAATTACAAAATACGGGGTGCAATAAGAACGAGGATCGGCCCCATTTCAGATCATTTCGAAAGGTATCTAGAATGAAAGAGCGTACAGTTTTATGGGGTTTTACATCCTTGGTTCTCCTTCGGACCTCATATTTGTCAGAAAATCGATCAGCTTTGAACAATACCTCCGCGAGCCCATTCTGAGGCCTTTTTCGTAATTTTCTCAGAATACAACAAGTTTGAAGGAAAGTATATACAATTCAGTGCAGCTTTCAACGGCGAACCAATCTATTGCTCAATTGTTGCTCAATTTTACTACTAAAGGGTGATGTTTTCAAGTATAGTGATGGATAATGTTTCTGTGTGTTTATCATGAAAGAACTTAGGTTGCGGTCTGTATTATATATCAAAACAAAGCTCTTTCAATACTCTACAAAATGGCTGGTAATTCATTTGTAGCTGAAAGTGCGAACACTCATTTTTTTCGATTACTACTGCAGAGTGATGTTTTCGGCATCGATGGATAGGCTCGATCCATATAAAACCTACGACCGTTTTATAGGATGGCAAATAGATGGCTTCTTAAGAATTTTGACAACAGCAAGGCGCCGCGCCTATCAACTCCTAGAACGTCTTAGCCCTTATAGAGGGTTAGGTTGTGTCGTCGTGTCTATCTAGCTGTGTTGGCCTAGTGGTCAAGCGATCTGCATCTCTGGGTTGGGACAGGTTCGGTTGACCTGTCTGTAGTCAACATATATCACTAAATCTCTGGGTCGGGTTAGGTTGGGTCGTCATGTCAGTAATCGACATAGATTCCACTAAATTTCTGCGCTGGCTTAGGTTGAGTTGTCATATGTGTCTTGGAGTGCCTCACTAGGGATGAACAGTTCTATATCTGTGGGTCGGGTCAGATTGCGTTATCATGTCTGTAGGCAACATATATCACTAGATCTCTGAGTAGGGTTAGGTTGAGTCGTCATGTCTGTCGTCTGTACATGTCTGTACTATACATTTATAATATTGTATGACTGATCACATTTATTCAGTCGTCATGTGCGTCTGTTTCTGTGGAGTAATACCCGACCCCGCGATTTAGTGATATATGTTGACGATAGATGTGACAGCTCAACCCAACCCAACTCAGAGGTTTACTGATATTTGTTGACTATAGACATGACAACCCCACCCACAGATTTAGTGATATAAGTTGACTACAGGCATGACAACTCAATCTAAGCCAACCCAGAAATTTACTGCAATCTATGTGAACTACAGACATGATGACCGAAACTAACCCAACTCAGAGATATAGAGCTGATGGACGCCCGTCAGTTAGAGCTTGAAAAACTTGACGACTCAACCTAACCCGACCCGACAACCGAACCTGTCCAAACCCAGAGATGCAGATTGGTTGACCACTAGGTAAACACAGCTAGATAGACACGACGACATAACCTAACCCTCTATAATGAATAGTGTATATGTTTGTGCAAATATGGAAGAAAAGCTCCACTTCTCAGCAGTTTTAGCTCTCTTTTATGAACCATTATGACTAGATCAGTCCACAGGATGGAGAATTCGAATTTGCAACAAAGTTGAAAATTACACATAATTCGACGTAGATACAAATATCTGTTTTCATAATTGCGAACTATTGCTTAGAGAATATTTGTGCTTCTTATAAGTCTGCATTTAGTATCTGGGGCTACCTCTTGCCCATAAGTACTTGTCGGTACTCCCTAGTACTACTCAGTACTACCCAGTACTACCTACTACTTCCTAGTACTACCCAGTACTACTCACGAGGGAAGTACCCCAATTGATAAATCGCTTTTTGACCGGAACCTAGTGGACTGTAGTTAGTCGACGATGCTGATTCTGAATATCACCATGACTGCTGCTGCTAGACCTTCAAAGGCCGGTTTTCTGGAAAACCAGTTTTCGAGAAACTCTAAAGAACAACCAAAAGCTTTCTTAATGAGGCGTAATTATAGTCCATAAATTTCTGATTACAACGAGGTATCTCCCAGCACTACACGACCTTTCTTTGCAAAGTTATAGAATTCACAAGAAAAGCCCTAAATATTCATTGTCACCGCGGAGCTACAGAAAGAAAAAGGAAAAAGAAATTTAGGGCTTTTCTAGTAAATTCAATAACTTTGCAA